TGAGTACGGACTGAAACCTCCAGTAACTGTGAGCTAAATAAACCTTTCCTTCCTTCATTTTGAGTGTCGGGTATTTGTCCCAGCAACGAGAGAAGAGTAACTAAGACAGTGACTATGGCTATAAATAATCTTAAAACTTTGGATTTATAGTTAATTACTTATTTGATACCTGTCACACATTTTCCTCACTGTCTGATATATTGTTCCCATTCTCATTTCTATTTCTCTTGTGCAGTTTCTTGAATATGTTTTATAATGGTTTGTCTAAAATGATGCTTGGGCTGATTCCACACCTCTGAAAGAGACCCCTGGGAGTCTCTTTGGAAGGAGCACAACCCTTCCACAGAAGGCAGGCAGATGGAAGTCAAGATACCCACTTTATGTCTGATAAAGTGCTTAGAGAAGATGGGGTACACACTCCCCAGCAGAGGCAGCTTCACCGGGGCAGACAGGCAGCCTGGGCAGCAGGAGGCTGGCCTGCCCAGGACAGAGTTGAGTTCTTCAACCCAGCCAGTCACTGAACAGGTTTCTGTAACTGGCCAGCAGCTTTGCAAGTGGGAAGATCTTTGGGTTTGAGAGCTGTGTACGCTCAGTTTCCTATTCATTTCCTGTGAGGCTGGGTGGGTATAGATAAAGCCCAGGACCCTTCACAGAATTAGCTACAGAACTGGGAATGCAGATCTTCGTGTGAGTTGGGCCAGTTAATCTCTAAATGTGGAGAAGCAGGGCTAAATACTGCCACTCACGCCTGTCTTCCTTGTGGTGGCTTCCCTCACCCTTACAGAGAGGGCCTCTACCTCTTGGCTCCCCTTGCTCCGGCCTGTCGTGGCCACCATCAATCACCTTGGCCGTTCTCAACCCTGGCTGCATGCTCGAATCAGCTCAGGAGCTTTGAAACATTCCGGTGCTCAGGCCCCAGCCCCAAAGATCCAGAGTCAGTTGGGCTGGGATGGAGCCTGGCAGTAGTTTTAAAAGTTCCCCAGGTGATTCTAAATCACAGCCAAGGTCTTGGATCAGTGGTCTAATAGTTTTGGTGTCATCAACCCTTCTCACCCTGATGTGGCCAGATGTGCAGTGCAGATAGTGCCATCTGTGAGGCCTTGGAACTCAGGCAGCCTCCGACAGCGGTATCAGCAATGGTCAGTGACTTCTTCCCAGATTAAAGCCACAAAGGTAGCTGTAGAGGTCCTGTTTTTCTTCTCAACTTGTCCTTCTCCACATGAAAGAATGTGGTTTTTGGTTTTTTTTTTTCAAAAAAGCATTTGGCTTCTTGGTGCTCAGCTATTCATTTTCTTGAAATAGAATGAGAGATTTCTTCCTTTTTACAGAAATGCTCTTGATCTGACTTTCCCCTCAGCCCATCTGTAGCCAGTCATCACGAAAATCCAGTAAAAGACATTCCCTGACATAAGCTCAATGCATTCATCTCCCTTAATATCACCCATAATCTCATGCCCAGGTACTGAGTCAGGCTTCTGCTGGCCACGTGGCCAGGCAAAATGAAATCCATGACCGCAGCACTTAAAAGGAGGGGACCTGGGGATACAATAGAATTGTCTAAAATACAATTTTCCCAGAACGTCGCCTGAACGCCTCTCATCTGAAGTGTGTCCCCTGGCTCGGGCCCACTCACCTGCAGCCATCGGTGAGTCCTAATCACCAGGGCGGCTTAGGAACGGCAGCTGGTCTAGCACTTGCGAGTCTCTGATGGCAGAACACAGCTAACTGCTCCCAATCCACAGAGGCATGATTGTGCTGGGTAATAACTCCTGAGAATGGCTTTGCCACACTTACAACATGCTGAGAGGGAGCAAAATATGAACTTGGTGTGAATTAGTCTGCCAGGTACAAACTTTGCTATTGGCCAATTGTACTCCCCATGTAATGACGGTGTAGCATGCCAAACCCCATCTCAATGCTTCAATACATGGCTGGATGCGAGACAAGTTTGTCATTCTTCAATATGCATGAATCTTGTTTAAAAATATGCCTGTAGCTTTGGAAAACCCCAACATGCTTCAGAGACAAAACTGAACTTTTGTTTGTTCATTTTGTAAAAAAACAGGACTTTAATTCAAGTTCTGGTTCTATTCCATTGAAATGACCAGTTCTTTTTTTTTTTTTTTTTTTTTTTTTTTTTATGTATTTGGTACAGGGACTATGTAGAGGCTTCAGTCCATAACCAGCTGGCTACAAGGCAGGGTGGCATGGCAGACAGGCATCATAGAGGGGAAACAACTCATGGGGGGCGGAAGGCAGCAAAGCAGCATGAGATAGCAGCAGCTCTTCTTACGCAGGCTGCTTCGGGCAAGTGGCACTCCTAGCTCGGACTTGTAGTGATCCTCCTGTTTTCAGCTTCCCCAGTGCTGGGATTATAGGTGTGCGCCACCACACCCAGACTCAGTCGTAACTCAGCATACCCAGGGGCAGGGCCAGCATGGCATGTGGTACCAGGGATCAAAATCCGGTCCCTGTGCTTGCCTAAATAGGCACTTAGTCTGCTGAGCTATCTCACCAGCCCGAAAAGACACCAGTTCTTAAAATGAATAAAGTGCTCATACTTGTTTTACTTCTAGGCCCTGGCTCAGCTTGAAAGCTTTATGTCACCTCAGCAAAGTCTGCCATTTTGTTCATTGCTGTGGTAAAATGATTGCTGTAACTGACCAAAGATTGTATCCTAAAGTCCTGAGCTGGTGGTAGTTGTTCTGGCTGGTGTTTAGATGCCTCCCTAAAGCCTCACTCAGCCATAGGTGTGGATTTTCCAGAGGTGCCTCGATCTAGAATGTCTGCCGCTGGAATCCATTCGTGATTCAATACTAGGATCAAGGGAGCCAGGGTTAAGGGCACGAGTGCCACTTGCCCGAAGCAGCCTGCGTAAGAAGAGCTGCTGCTATCTCGTGCTGCTTTGCTGCCTTCCGCCCCCCATGAGTTGTTTCCCTCCATGACGCCTGTCCGCCATGCCACCCTGCCTTGCAGCCAGCTGGTTATGGACTGAAGCCTCTATAAACTGTGAACTAAATAAACCTTTCCTCCTTTAACTTTGGGAGATGGGTGTTGCATCTCAGCAATGAGAAGAATGACTAAGACAATAATCTTCTGTCAGCTAAACAGACGCACAGTCCCATATCTCTGCCTTAAACCTGAGCAGTCAGCCTCAAGGCAGTATCAATTATGTAACCCCAAGGTTAGAGCAAAGCACGTGACCTGTGCAACCCAAATCACTAAACAGGCTTGACTATTTCAACTTCCAAAGATAAGATGGTAGGGTTGCTACACCATGACATAGAAATGTGGAATATAAATTCAAGTTAAAGGGATACATAGGAACAAGTTGTGAAATATCATTATTTCTAAGATGGATGATGAGGGCTAATGATGCTGTTCAGTGATGGAATGTGTGCACACCTGAGGCTGTGGGCTCAGTACCCTAGCACCACACACACACACACACACACACACACACACACACACACTCAGGTGGAGAGATTGAAAGCTAATCTTATATTGTCTTCATCTTTTGGTTTTTTTCTTTTCTTTCTGTATTTTGGACAGTGTCTCATTACATAGATTGGACTCATAGTGATTCTCCTGTTTACAGCCTCCCAAGCACTGGGATTACAGGCATGCACCACCAGGCCCAGTCTCAATCACCATCTCAGCAAGCCCCAGGGAACAGCCGCTGTGCTCTGCCTAAACAGGTTTAGTCTGCTGAACTATCAGGCCAGCCCTTAGTGTCTTCATCTTTTGGAAACCTTTTTGTATATTCTACCTAGGCAAGATTTGGCAAAGGAAAGAATATAATCTTTCATATGTCTTTGAATTTAAATCCACACTTACTGTCTATTGGATTTGTGACTGGGAACATATGGCAACCTCTTTCCAGTATGGTAGGCATTTCCAGTTTTCATATGTGTCCAAGAGTTACTTGTCATGTTGTGGTTCGGGTAGGGATCAGAGAGAATATATGTCAGAGGCTTGACATCTATGAGGTACTCAACAGATGGACAGTAGAAATAAGCCTTTTTTCCTTCTGAAACATCTGACAGTCCTTGGAATGAATGAATTCCTCTTAGAACATAGAAGAGAAAGCAGAAATGTGGGAACACTTCTAGAGTCATAACCCAAAAGGCACAGTTACACTGCAGGGTTGAGTTTCAGATTTCTCAGAACCATCAGTATGTTTGTTAAGTGAAATAAGCCAGGCCCCAAATAGCAAGGCCCCCACGACCTCACTCATGGGGAATTTTAACAAGTTGACCTCATGAATGTTGTGGGTAGAGCTTCAGTCACCAAAATCTGGGGAGACCTCTCTTGGATAGGAGCTTTCTTTCACTCAATAAATATATTCTGCTCATGAAAAAATAAAAAATAAATGAATAAATAAAAATAAAGAATAAAAAAAAAAATCTGGGGAGGTAGAGGAGATACAGAGAAGGGGAAAAGTTGGTCAGTGAGTACTAAGTTACAGTTCCATGAGAGCAAGAAGTTCTGATATGCTTTGCTTAGCTGGATGACTACAGATTCCAGGAATGTCCTGCGTAACTTAAAAAGCTGAAAGAAAGGGTTCTGAAGGTTTTCACCATAAAAGAATAAGAAATGTTTGAGAGAATAGACATATTCATCCTGATTTAAATGTTATGCAGTACATAAATGTATCAAAGCATCACATGGCACCCCATAAATATGTGCATTTTTATACATCAGTTAAAATATGTTCAAATTTTTTTAAAAAAGCAATATCCTTGTCAGCCTTTTGTGTTAGCTCCCAGGCATAAAGGGTAATGAACAGTCATTTTATTAGCTTAGCGTGTGGGGTAGTTAAAAGGGAAGAAAGGCACAAGTGTCACTGCATGTATGTGTGTACACGCATGCACGCACATATCCAAAAATCGTAATTGTTGAACAAGGCAGATTCTGCAAGGTTTGGTTTTGTTTTGCTGAAGACATTGGAGGGTAGTTGTTAGGGAAAGAGAGAGACAAAAGTCCTTTCTCTGGATTAAAAAGTGACAGCCAGAAGTTGTTTTTTTTCCCCTCAGAAGCATTTTCCCCACAGTTCTCACTACTCAGGGGATAATTTCTGTAAAGGTCCCCTTTTGGGTAAAGAATACCCTTGGAGTATTAGACACACGGATCCTTTCCAGCTTCCTGCATTCATCACGTTAAGAAACTAGACTTGAGGGAAATAATTTTCTTTTCCCCCTCCCCATAAGGATGAATGAAGAGTTTAGGAAAAATTGGGAAGAATATGAGATCAGTTCTTGCTTTCTGACCCTTTCTCAACAATGCCAGTTCTGCTGTTATGGTGGCTCCAGGATGTCCCTCTAAAACCTCATGGGGCTTTTGAATGTGACAGGATTATTCAGGCTTCATAGTAGACTTGTTAGGAGGTGGGGCTTAGTCAGAGGAGGCATGTCACCATAGGGCGTGGCTTGGGGACCCTTTCCTGGCTCCTGGGATGCTCTCTTGTCTCTGTTTCCTGGTGCTGTGCTATGAGCAGCTATTGCTCTCTCATGCCCCTGTGCCATGCTGTCCTGCCTACAGACTGAAACGTGCACAAGCTGTGAGCCCAAGTAAACCTCCCCTCTTTTAATTTCCAGATGGCAGGTATTTGGTTCCAATGACAGAAAAGTGACTAAGGCACTGTCACTCTCAAGAATCCACTAACCTACTGCAATTCTAAAGCAGCCCATTCTTCATTAACTCCTTCTGCACTGTGATTTTCCTTACAAAAAGTAAAAGACTGTGTCAGGGGACAAAAAAAAATGCTCACTTTGATAATGAAATTTGTCTGGGTCCTGATAAATAGCAGATATTTCAGAATACTTTAAAAATTGTGAGCTTTGAGGAACGGAGTAAAAGCACTCATAACTCACCACTGCTAATAATGGTTCCTGCCACCTGTCAGTGGAGGGGACTTCAAGTGGCTACAACTGGAAGTCATATAATTTTAAAGCTGGAAGGACCTTGTCAAGAATAGCCAGCCACATATTTTACAGATCACAGAGCATTTGAACTGGAAAAGATTTAAAAAAAAAAAAAACAAACCTACTTTCAGTTCCCTTTTGTGGATACAAGACTTAAAACTCATTCAAGTGATGAGATTTGATCAGAGTCTAATCCCCAATAAGTGGCCAGCTCACCTGCAATCTAGGTTGCTTAATCTCAATAGTGTCATCTTACTAAATGTTTGTTAGAACCTCTTTCTACCATGACTGTTTTAGGCCCGGTTTGTGGGAGTTCCAGGACAAATAATATCCATCCCCTGCCTTCTTGAGGGTTAGGGTGTTCTTGCAGAGAAGAAATACATATTCTTAAGCACTTACAAGTGTTTTGAAATAATAGAGAGGACATCAAGATCTAGGAAGGACAGAATAATACCTGGATGAGAAAAATGGAAGCTTTTTCCTTCTCACACCTTGCTGTTTTTCATCCCATTAATTATATTTGTTGAAGTGAGGCATAAAGTCTCTATATGTTAGATTTCACTCACAGGGGAAGAAACTAACAGTAAGACCCTTAAGTGAAGAGGTAGACAGCCTGTGCTGGTTAAGTAAGTCTTCCACCAGGTAGATTTGCAAGATGAACTCTAAGCTCTCCCCATCCTCCTCCCCCACCACCCTAGCTTCCACATGGGCCCTACTTTGAAGTGGAGTAGGGACATCGAAGTCCTTGACTGCTTTGCCGTAGGCCAGGCAATAGCAGAAATGCAGGATGTACAGGATGGTGACCAGTGGGCTTCTTGGAACACCTCAGATCAGCAGAAGACAAGAGGCAGAGTTGAACGAGACCGTGGAGATGGAGGATGCCGACCTGCGGGGATGGCATAGAGACCCTGGCTTCCTCGACAGCACTCTATTCTAAACATGTCCAAGGAGCCACCTTCTTATTCACAGAATTGGTTGGAGTGTCCTCTCTGCAGTCTAGGTCATATGCCTCATTTGGCAAAGAAACTTTGCTTTTCTAAAATATGAAGTAAGCTAAATCTCTGTTAAGTTTTTACAAATTTTCAATCATAAAGTCACATTCAAAAGCTTTATGAAGTATGACTAAAGTTATAAGCTGTGATACATGACTAGTCAAATTTCATTTTTCATGTTAAAAAAGATTCCATATGTTTTACCAGCCCACTGAAATGCCTTGGCAATGACTAGATCGATAGATCTAGGAGTGATTGATACCATATGATTCTCGGTATCATATTTTGATAATGTTCTGAAATGTTTCAAACCACGAAAAAGAAACCCACCCACATACTCTGAGCTCAGAGCCAGCAGTTTTTATCTTATTGGCTACATCTGGGGTTTAAACATCATCATTAAAATTTTACAAGTGACATATCAGGGAAAATTAAGCCCACCGACTGCGCCGTCTTGAAAGGAAAACTTTCCTTCATTACAACGAATGAAACTGTGTGCTAGGTACAAGCGCCAGTGACCTCTAGCAAACAAACCGCTGACCCGTAACTGCGTGAGAATACTCCAGAGTAAATGGGGCAGAAGTTTTCCCAGCATAGCTGTGCATGCTAGTGGGGCAGCAGCTTCTTATTATAATTAAAAGAGATAGAGTGGCCAGTGGGGAACATTTAACAGGAACAAACATGACTGCCTTGTCAAACTGTTCTTCTGATACAGTCCTCATTCCCATCTCATGCTGTATATCTAGGTTTTAAAAGTGACACAAACATTGCACATAAAAATGACACACACAGACTTGTAGAGCGGAGCCACTTAAAGCCATTTAGAATGTAGATGCCATCAATGGCCAATTTATTCAGAGTGAGTCTCCCTCTAAATCTGTACTGTCTAATCCAGTAGCCACTAAAACAAGCATTTTTTAATGCATGTGGCCACACTGCCTCAGGCCGCTGTAAGGATAAAGCTACACAGTTTCAAAGTGCTAAGGAAAACGAAAGAATGTGAAGTATCTTTCAGTCATTTTTATACTGATTACACGTTAAAAATGACAGTATTCTTAAAGTTCACTTAATCTGTTTTCGCTGTTGGTTTTATAATGTGGCTACTAGCACATTTTAAATTACAAATGGGCTTTGCGCTTACAACTTTTGTTGTATTTCTATTGGTCAACCTTGACCTAAAGGAAAAGTTTGATAAACAGAACAGAATTACAGAATTTAGCCACGGCATGGAACTGAAATTTGTACTAACTTAACTTCTTATAATAATATATGCATATAAACCAAGCATAAAATGATTGGTATTTTTTTTTTTTTTTTTTTAATGTATTTGGTGCAGGGTTTACCTATACAGCTCAGACTCGTAGTGATCCTCCTGTTTTCAGCCTCCCTGGTGCTGGGATTACAGGTGTGCACCACCACGCCTGGACTCGGTGGACTGCCCAGCACACCTGGGGGCAGGGCTGGTGCAGTATGTGGTGCTGGGGATTGAACCCTGGCCCCTGTGCTTGCCAGAGCAGGTGCATAGTCCACTGAGCTATCTTGCTGGCCCTGTGATTGGTATCTTTTTTT